GCCACTGTAGAAAGTTACTAACCTCCTTTCGTTCTGAGTTATCGTGCCGTTTTCCAGCTTTTTGACTGTGGTCGCTAGCACTTTATTCGCGTCATTGGCGAAGTCTAGGTCTCGGACCTCAGACAGCGGGACAGACACGATGGCAAAGGCCTCTTTATCTTCTTTCGTTTGGCAAGTTCCAATCTGCAATGCGGTTTTCCATTACGATTAGTTTGTTTTTCTGTAACTACGCGATATTCTTCAAGCCCTAACACTTCTCAGTACTGTTTAGGAAATAAAACAGGGGTAGATAATCCAAACACAGTAATTCCTCCGGGCATCATCCACTGGGAAAGACTGTGGGGACGCAGAGTTCCCAGGTCCACTTCCTGCCTTGTTCTCACTTGCCCTTTGCTACAATTTCAACACGGTAGAGAAACTGCCCTCCTGGAATCTTCTTCCCTTTCTACCTGCTCCTCCCCATCTTTTAGCCTCTTTGCTGCATCTTCCTGAATCCCAGCCCTGCTGCAGCCAAGCCATGTGGTTCAGCTCCCTAAAGCAACTGGCAGCCATGAGTCCCTGATGAAATTAATTGCAATCATCTCTAATATGGGTAAAGCTGGATTGTAAGAACATGTCAGTCACCCCCTAATCCTCTTCACACACCATTTGGCAGAAAATTAAACCATTCTCAGCAACATTTACCTTCAACATAACAGGCCTCTCTTCATCTGTGTCTATGGGGATGCTGGTACTGGTGACCCACGTGTTGGTACACAAATGCCTTAACCGAACATACGAGTTCCTAAAAGCAAAATAACATAAAAAACAGCACAACTCACATATTAACATATTTAACAGTTTCATGCATATGAATACAAACATATTTTAGACTAGCAACTGAATCAAGTGTAGATCAGTCTGGTTTAAGGAAAAACTCTGAACTGCAGACTATTTCAAAGCATGCAGTATTATCATCTAGCTTGCTGGCTCTCAAAATGTGGTCCCTGGACAATCAACAGCAGCTTCACCAGAGACCTTGGTAGAAATGCCAGTCCCAGTCCACTAAATCGGAAACTCTGAAGGTGAGGCCCAACAGTGGGCACTTCACCAGCCTCTCCAGGCAATTCTGATGCATAAGAACCCCTGGCTGTGTGACCACCTCAGTTAAAACTGCTGTCTGATCGTAGTACCTTATGAGGTTTGACCATCTGCATGTAAAAGTACACAGTACAGTCAGTCCCCATTATTTGCAGATACCCTACTCATGAATTCGCCTACTCACAAAAATGTATCTGTAGCCCCCAAATCAACACGCGGGGCACTCTGCAGTCCTTCTCAGACATGCACAGAGTGGCAAAAAATTTGCTTCCCCCACCACTCACATTCCCCGTGAGGCTGAACAAGGCGATGCTCTGCCTCCTTGTTTCTGCTCTCAGACCGTCAACCAGTGCCCACTTCATGGTCTATTTAGTGCCATGTTTTTCACTTACTGTTGGTGACTTCATTGTTTAAAACAGCCCCCGAGCAAAAAAAAGTTTTCACATCAACAAAAAGAAAGAAAGAAAACAGCCCCCAAGCATAGGGTTGAAGTGCTGTTTGGGTTCCTAAGAGCAAGGCTGTGATGGGCATCTAGGGAAAAATACTCATGTTAGACAAGCTTCACTCAGGCATGACTTACAGTGCTGCTGGCCGTGAGTTCAGTGTTAATGAACTAACCATATATATTAGATAAGATGTCTTGAAACAAAAACACATATAAAACAAGGTTGCATACTGATTAATTGACAAAAATGTTGTGACCAGAGGCTCTCAGGAACCTAACCCTGTATTTCCGCTAGGAGCAATGGCTCAGTATTTGCTAATTCATGTACCAGGAATAGTAAGAATCAACTGCAGGTGAACTGTGAGCGGGTGCATGAAAAAAAGGACAGCTAAAGCTTCATCCAACTCAAATATTACCATTTTTAGTGAATCTTCTCTTATCATCATTTCTTTAACAAAATGGGTCAAGTGTCTATTAAAAGAAAAACATTGCAGCAAGTTGTCTGCCTTCAAGTCGCTGAGAGTTCAGTAGGAAAGATGAGACATAAAATCAATCATAAAACATGAGGCAGGAAGCATGACAGCCAAAAGAGAAACTCAAATAAAACACGCAGGGCTTCAGGGAGAGAGGTTCATTCAACCTCATGGTTCTGCTCATTCAGCAAAGGAGATAAAATACAGGCTGAGTTTCCAAAATCTAAAACGGCAAAGGTCCAAACCTCATCCAAAGAGTCAGAAATTGTGCAATACCTGTGTTTCCACTTACCATCTTCTGCGTGGAATCACACAGGAGATGTCACCTGCACTCAGTTATCCTCCCCACTGTACTTTAAGCATCTGGAAAGCGGGGTCACCGCATACTCAGCTCTGAGGTCGCTCTCCCGATTCTTACCCTGCTCTTGTTCAATAATTGCTTATTTACTCAACCTAGGTTACTGGGTTCCAAGCTAAAAGATCTAGACTTGAGCATAATAATTTGCAATTTCCAAGAATTTTGGAAATGCATAACCCTTTAGGACCTACACCACATAAATCTGGTTGTTAAAATCTTGATACAATCTGAATGTCTAAAATATGAAGGCATTGTAGCCTCGTAGTTCAAAGTCCAGACTCTTGAGTTCACACAGTCCAAGATCAAATTCCATAGCATGAGCTTGACATGGGCCAATTAACCTAATTGGTTAATTAGGTGAGGGGTTCCCAGACTCGACTGCACATTAGAATCATCTGGAAAGCTCTGACAATCCTATTGGCCAGGCTGTACTACACACCACTGAAATCAGAACATCTGGGACAAGGGGAGGCGTCTGTATGTTTTTAAAGACCCCCTGATGTTCCAATGTGCAGCCAAGGCTGGGGACCACTGCTCTAAGCCCTTGATACTTAAAATCCAGTCCGCAAACCAGGAGCATCAACATCCCCAGAGAGCCTGTTAGAAATGCAGCACTCAGACCCCACCATAGACCAAACGGATGGGAATCTGCATTGTCCTCAGATCCCGAGGTGATTCAGTGCACATTAAAGTTTGAGGAGCAATGACTATACAGAGTAAAGTTTGAGGGGTATTTGACCCTTCACTGGACTCACTTGGGTAATAATTTAAAAAGTAAAGCCTGCATCCGACTCAAGACTGATTTCACTGGTCTTGGTGCAGGCAGAGCGTAGAGAGGGCGCAATGCTGCCCAGCTGATTCCAACTTAGAGCTAACCGGAAAAGCACCGCTCCGAGTCTTTAGCTCCTGCTCGGTAAGAGTTACCGCAAGAATTAAGTAAGATATTTACAAAGCACTTGACATAGTGCTTAGCACACAGCAAGTGCTCCAGAGTTAAAATCACAATTATTATTAAGTGTTAATTAGTGTTAGCTTTAAAACAATTAATGACAAATGAATCTATGTTAACACAAAATTCTGATCCACACAGAGAAGGGCTTCAGCAGTCTGCACAGTAATGCATGTCCCCTTCCACGTAAAGCAAGGCTCAGGGGCTTGTCTTACGTCTACACACTTTATAGTGAAGTCTTTCCATCATCTCCTTATGGAAACTTTCTTGCATAGAGTTCAAGAAGGACTCTATTTTCCTGAGTTAAAATCTAAAATGAATAGTCACAGTAAGGATGCGTTAAGATGCAGTCCTCAGAAGAAAATGTCAGACACCTGCATTGGGTACAACCTTCAGAGGGGATCTCTTTTCACAGGCTTCTATTGGCAGAACAGAAGAATGAGAGGAAAAGTGAGAGATGGCTCATGTGAGGCCAAGATTCAGTAACATTTCTCATGAATGAGAACAGCGCGGGAAGCCCAGTGCTTCTCGGCAGTGTTAGCACAGCAACTTGTCACCTTCCCCGAAAGTCACCCACACAAGAATGTCTGCATTTGGAGCAGGTACCTTCAGCCTAAGCACTGCCATCTGCCCAAGGCCAAGGCCAATAATACTGGTTCAAGGACATTTGGAGCCATCCCACTAAACCTAACAGTATGTGCAAATCTCCTCAGCGTATCCACAGACTGCACCGTAGTGCTACTGTCGGAAGCTAGACAGCTAAAGGCAAAAAAATCTTAAATCAAAATAATCAAATCCAGGCAAAAGAATGTGAAGGACTCTCTTATATTAAGTTCCTGCGACCTCATTAGCAGCCCCCCGCCCCCTCCCTCGCTCAGGTCCAGCTGGTCTCTTCGCTGGTCCACCTAGTAAATGTCTAAGATTTTCCCATTTCCTGCTCCTGCTGCCTGAAACACTTCTCCCAGATGGAGAGGACTCGATCCTTCATCTCATTCAGATTTTCCCTCAAATGTCCTAAATCAGAGAGGCCTCATACCTAATAATAGAACTCTCCATACTCTTCAGTTTTCCTTCAAAGCATTTTTATTATCTGCCCTTATATTTCTGTGTGTTTGTTTATTGCCTCTCTCTCCCATGTGAATTTAAGTCCATCACCAGTTTGCTCACGATTGTCTTCCCACTGCCAAGGGCAATGCCTGGAATGTAACTGATGTTCAATAAGGATCTGTTAACTGAATGACTAAATGAATGAACAAATGGACGAGTGAACAAATGAATGAATCTGGAATTTGACATAATAAAAATAAATGCTGTAAGTATTGATGAAAAATGCTTCTAGATTATTTTTCATTTTAGGAACCATGAGCCAAACGAGTGATAAGAAAAATGATTCTTACGAAATTTTCAAACTACATCAATCTACTCACAAAAGAAGCACTATTTTTCACACTCTTGTTCTTCACTTATGCTTGCTCTCTTGACATCACAAAAATTACATTACCTTGGAACCAGGCAGTCTGCTCTCTGAAGAGTTGTGGCATCCAGTTCAAAAAGGGATGCGATGTCATTTCCATGTGGGACTGAGACCAAAGTGTACATGATCTTCTCCCCTGCCTGGCGTTTCTTCTTTGAAGTTGGAAGATCTCCATCTCTCTGTTGAGAAGGTACAAGGTTTTTACCTTTTATTGGATTTCTTACTAAACTCTCCAATTAGTTGGGAGATAAGGTTTAAATCTGCATTTATTTCTTCATTGGATTATACCAATGTCTAGTTCACATCATCCAGAAAGAGCAAGTCAGGCCTGACAGCCTCTGAAGTAATGATTCTCCACAGGGACATGCTCCCAGGGGGTGGCTTGAACTGGGCAAGTTATCCAAGCACCAGTGTCACAGTGGGTGTGGTCCCTTCTCCGGCATTAAACCTATTTTCACAGTAGTAATTTTGACCATTCCACACTTAAACCCAGAGACGAAACAGTGTGTCGAAGCATCTAGATTTCATAAATTAAAGAGTAGGCACGGCAGTGGGGCAGAGTTCCTGCCTAACTCCCAAAACACCACTGGGACGTTAACCTGGAGCGAAGGGGAATGAACAGCAGCATTTCCATCGGCTTGTTGCATGAGACCCGAGAACGTACCACAAAGGCACATAAAGTGAAACAAAACGGGATGGACAAATAGAAGCCCTCATGAAGATGTGAAACTCAGTCAACGTTTCCAGTACACCCCTACCATTTTAAGCAGGAAACAACTCAAGACAGATGATTATGTATTTTCACTTGAACTTCCCCAAGCTCCAATGTCCCATGGAAGAATTTTGGTGTATAGGAAAACCAAAATGTGACACAGTAAATGTAATGTAAGCTTTGTAATAAGGTGCATAACCATAGTGACCTACACGTATTTATTAAACCAAATTAAATTTGAAAATGAGAGAGAAAGATTATGCTTGCACCATCACAGGAAGCTGGAAGGAAACAGAGGAGGAAAGGGACGCTTACAGGCAACTGAAAGCAGTCCATTTGCAAAGACCAGCATCTCTTTAAAGGCTGCTATGACAATGAAATAGTACACCTGATCATCCAAAACACTCACTTGAAGCCCCAGCCCAAGATTGTGAAATCATTTTCCTTAGATCAGAAAACCCTTGCAGTTTCCTTCTGGTATCCTCTGTAAATGACACACAAATTGGTAGCCCCACTGACGCGTGGACGGGCAGAGGAACCGCCAGGGTTCCTAGACGGAAGCAGGATTGTTATCTGCTAGACCCCACACAGCCGGGCAGCACCTGCTAGCTCCTGTCATCTTTGATTTATGCATCTTCTGCAGAGACCAAAGTTCAGAGTTCAATGAAGACAGGGGTCTGGCAAACTCTCCCCAGGTGGTTTGACCCCCATAACAGGTATTTCTAATCAGCAAGCATGAAATAGGTTTATCCATCAGAAAAAGGTACACTTCACTTTCTAGACATTATAAGGGAGCTTAGGGATATAGGAAAGAAGGAAATGCAAAAAGTTAGCAAACCACACTTCTGGAATCACACCAAGCTTCTCGTGATGCCCAAACTACTCCTTGGTTGTTCTCACTAATCTTACAACAATTTGAGAGAGAGGAAGATGAGCAGTTTTCCTTTAAGCAAAGAAATGAATGCAGTTACCTACAGAAGATGAAGGATGCAGGAAGAAGCGAAGGAAAGGGGATGGAGAGGGAGGACCAGAGGAGAAAGAGGGGGAGGGGAGGGAAGGGAGAGGGAAGGGAAGGGAAAGGGAAGGAAGGGGGAGGGGTGGGGAGAAGGGAGTGAAATCGGGAAAAGGAGGGGGAAAGAGGAAGCAGAGGAGCAGTGGGCAGCATCGTAAATGCTCCACCCCAAAATCAACTAGCCACGCCTCCATATGCAAATGAACCATAGCCAGAGGCCTGGCCTGCAGTCCTTAAGCACTGAGTGAGCCACTCCTCAAAGGGCAGGCATGAACTCTCCTGGCTAAGAGCCTTCTTTAAGTCTTCTGCAAAAATTCTCACAGATCAGGATACCTATTTCACAGGGATCTGCACTGAGGCCATGGAAGTCTGTGAACTGAAGACAAAAATATTTGAAGGGCAAAAACATCCTCATATCCTGAGAGGAGAGAATTTAAATGTCTTTTTTTTAACTTTTACCTATTCCTTTTA